TTGTTTTTTCTGTTCTTCTTTTCGAACAGTATATATCAAACAAAGAAGTAAGATTTTTGTAAAATTTCTGGAGTCTTTCAAGCTTTTAGAAATAAGTTAATTATAGCCAGGGAATTTGGGAAAGATGGGAATCCAAGGATAAAGTCTATTGCATTATCTTTCAGCATATGATTTATGTCGCACAATCTACAGTACATGTCCAAAGGTGATTCATCATTTCCCTTTTTACCATAATTTATGAAAAGTAAGTTTTTGTTAAAAAATCTTGTGGGTTCAATTCTACTCAAAATTTTTAAAACTTTTCCAATGAGTTAAGAAAAATTGTTCAAATTTTCTTTTTTTGTGGGGGGGGGGGGGGGGTGTGTGTTCAAAATCTGATTATTGATCACTGAGTAAAGATTTGAAATTATAAAGTCAAAATTTCTAACTTCAAAACACCACGATTTCATTACACATTTTTGTAAAACATGCATCTTGGAATAAAAATTTTCGGTCACTACATGAGTATATTAGGAACCTTGATTCCCTTATGATTTAACATTTAGGATAAACTGGTTTTGACACATTTTAAGCATTAATTTATGAGGGAAAATACTAAAACATCCCAAAATCCATTATTTGAATATATAATTTCAATCTGTTCATCATCCTTTTTAAATATATTTTCATTTTTAAATTTGCAATTATGACTGTAAACCACAATAGTTCATATAGAAAAAAACTGAAATGATCAAAGTTTCGTATTGGCATTTCGGGATAGTTTTTTTTTTTATTTAATCCTTATTTTATAATAAACCTAATGCAGAAAATTTCATGCAATAAATTAACAACTCCAATTAAAACATGTCCTCATTATACTTCGGAAATACAAATTTACTGACTAAAAAACATGTATCATGAAAAATTGCAATAAACTTTCATAATTTCCATCATATCATTTTACAGATTCTTATAATATTTTATCTCATTCAATGCCAGTCGCCGTGTAGCGCAGTGGTTAGCGTTTGCTCTAGAGTCACGAACATGAAGGAGTCGATCCTTATGTAGCGGGTTCGAATCCCACTGCGAGACATGGAGACAGTGAAACCGAGGTCCCGTGTCGCAGTAAGTGCTGGTCAGAAAAAGATCCCTCACCACTCAATGACCTGGAGTGCTGAATATAGATCTAAATTTGCAGCCCACCAGCGGCAATAGTGATGTCTCAATATGAGTGAAAAATTCTCGAGAGGGACGTTAAACACAAAATCATTTATGCCACTTTCTATCAGTACTTACAGTACTTCGATTATAGTTTCTAATCTAAATTTCTCCGCCCATTTCCATGTAATAGAGAAACCGTAGTCTGACCGGGGGAAAATGTTCCAGCATTTTTTAGTGCGATAGATGTTAAAAATTGGCTTGTATTTTTTGATATGTTTAATTATGTTTTAATTAAAAATACATTGTTATACACAGTGAAAACAAACAAAATACCATATGCTAATATTTAACCGGTAAACCAAGGGTGTAAAAAGGGACCACACTACTATACTTAAGAAGAATACTCCTTTGAGCAGAATTGACAGACCATTATGAAATGCCATTTCCATGAAAAAGCATCCAGAAGTCCACATATCTGGCGTCCAATATCTGAAGATCCACTGTACAAGAATACCTAAAGTTTATACATTAATAGTTATATTTTCAAATTTCTTTCTTCAAAATAAAATTACAAATAACAAAAAATGTATTCTTCATAAAGCTACTGGTTTATCAATATGCATGGTTACAATTGTAATAAAACATACATGTGCAGGGTGGGAGAGAGAAGGAAAAGTGGGCAAGGCTTAGATCAAGCTGGTAAATTTAAATATAGTATGTGGTAAATCCATCAGATTTTGGGGTTTTATAATCATTAATTATGTTCAAGCACCTATCTTGTGTGGTAATTTGACAATATTATGCAAACTAATTGCTTGACTACATCATAGTACAAAAAAAAATATATAGATATTCCTTAAATATTCTTCAAAGACTAAGAGAGGCCATTGTAAGAGAATGTGATGGTTATTATAGGTGCTTATTGAGGGCTATGTTAATCTGCATGGTGTGAATGACAACAGAAAGGGTATTACTAACAAACACACAAATGCTTTACTATATTCCCTCCAACTCATTGCGAGGGGATAATAACATTAGTAGGATTCTGTAATGGAGAAACACTAAAATTTTATAATTGACCTTGACCTAAGGTCATTCATGCAAATTCAAGATCAGTGACAACAGAAAATTGAAAATTCATATCAGGTTATATAGAAATATTTTAATTTCATACTTTAAATACACAAACTTTACTTAAGGACTCTCTATACACCAGTGCAAAATAGGTTTTATTTGGACATTGAGAAAATTGAATCAAGGTGTAAATATTGAGCTTATCTATCTAATTTTCAATGTACGGTACGTGGCAATATTTGCTCCCCAGGAAAAATGTTCAGAGACGACAAAGTATCAATGAACAGAAATCACTTTTGTTTAGTACTTTACTTCCGTGGAGAAAATACACACAGCAAATAAAGTGTTCAATTCATTTATCTGGGCCTTTTTAAAATGTTAAGAATACTAAATTGATTACAAATTGAGTATAATATACTGTAAATTTCAATTTATTGGAATTGAGATCTAAGGGCAGATCACTCTAACTGCAGAAAAATACCATAGAATCAGAACTCTTTAGTGTGCAGTGTAGAGAGGGTTCTTAAAGCAGTTTCTTAGAAATATGTAAATTGGCACTTTAAAACTTAATGCAGCGGGAAGGAGGTAGGGGTGGTAATTTCATGAGCTTGTTTACAGTACCTCTAGTAACTGACTGGGATGGACTACTTGTGTCCAAGTGCTATATTGAGTTTACTGTTGAGTTATTAATGAGTTAAATCCTCTGATGAAAAAAACATATATATACAAAAATAGAAAAAAAGGTTATTTTCTTGACTTGTGCAGTGCACTTCCCTAAACTAGTGAATAATGCAATATTTACTCTCCAAGGCTACCAGATCTTTAATTAGTCCCCTACCGGTGAAACCGGAGGGGACTATAGGTTTCCTCTGAGTCTGTCCATCCGTCTGTCCATCCGTCTGTCTGTCTGTCTGTCCGTCTGTCTGTCTGTCCCTCTGTCTGTCTGTCAGTCTGTCCCACTTGGTTTTCCGCACTTTTTTCCTAAACGCTTGCAGATATTGAGCTGATTTTTGGTATGTGAGTGTATCTTGATGAGTTACAGATCAAGTTTGCATTTCGTTCTGCTTCATTGATTTTTGACGGAATTACGGCCTTTTCAATTTTTACGGGTTTTCCACAATTTTCTTCTAAACGCTTGTAGATATTGAGCTGATTTTTGGTATGTGGCTTTACCTTGATTAGTTATAGATCAAGTTTGCATTTCGTCCCGCTTCATTAATTTTTGACGGAAATATGGCATTTTCAATTCTTAACGGGAACCAGATTACACTTGCCGGTAGGGGACTAGTATTGCTAATGCAATACTCTCAGAATGCTTGTTTTAAATGCCAACATGGTGTACTGGTGCATGCTTTCGTATCTTTACGATAGAGGAACAGGTTCAATTCCTGTTGTTGGCTTTCCTTTGAAAGAACTGGTAGTAATCTTGCACTGTTTAAGAATATTTCGGTATAATAGCTTTTAATGTTCATTAGATTAGCACACACAAGATAAATGTAAATAAAATTAATGAACAGACAGATGTGGTATGTATGTTGCCGACCGGTTTTAGGAAAAGTCTTATATATGAATTTTTACCTATACATGTAGCTTACAAAGAAGAAACTAAGCTGGATGCTTTTGTGTTAATTATTGAACTCCTTAAGGACATTGGCAAGTCAAGGTTTTCCGGAGAAAGAAGGTTTAATACATGGGTTTTTTCACTTATAACATAGTGATTGAGAGTGATCTCCCGTGTAGAATTCTCTAAGCGGTGGAAACCAATAAAGCGTATGTTACAGAGGTAAACAAAAGCACGATTACTTCCTTCAACGGGTAGAATCATCTATACAGCAAGAAAGAAAAGTAGAAATGGCTTTGTTGTACATTGTATTCAGGGACAAAGAGCCAATAGGTCGTCATTTACGATAGTTGTGCTCAGTATGCTGGGAAGGGCAAATATGTGACATATGCTGAAAGGTAGGCCGACTGAGAACAGTTCTTAGCTAGGTCGTGTGAAGGAAGCAGCATTTAGTAACTACGAATAAAAAATAAAAATAAAACAATGCCAATATTTTTGTTACAATGTGTTTCAATCAATTAAGTCAACTACATGATAAAAACAATCAACCAGTCTCTTGATCAATTTTAGCTGTTAAGGGAAGCAACTCAGAAATAATGATCGGTGCCGGTATATCCATGTTTTGTTCCGATATATAATTTTTAGCCATAATTTCTAGAAGTCATAGGAAATGAAGATACAATAATGTATATAATACAAAAACTGTATGAAATAAGTGGGTTTTGGAAAAATATTATGGTGAAAAATTATGTAGGTCCCTTTTATCAACATTTTACATAGGAAATGCATTGAGAAGTGTAAAAACATCGATTTCACAAAATCTAAAAAAGAAGGTTGGATTGGTAGGTTAAAAGGTCAAGAATATAGCCTATTTAGTACTTTTAAACCTACTCAAGAGTTCTTGAAAAATTCTATACGATAACCAGGAACCTTGCCAATGTCCTTAACATTATAGAGCAGCAACTGAATAAACTTGCGAAATACACCAGCATTTGCTTAAAAACAAAATGAATGAAAGTGATATTGACAAAACTGCATCAGGTACTTGCACATATATATTTTCTCATCCTGAAAACATCATTGGCAACAAAGCTGTATATCAAGCTCTACGCTCCTGTCAACAGAAATCATATATTGTTGTCGATGAGGCACACTGTATTCTAGACTGGGGGGAGGAATTCCGTCCAGTTTTCAGAGAAATTAAGCAATTAAGAGCTGTTGTACCGGATGCTCAAGTGCTGGGATTAAGTGCTACTTTGTCAAAAGATGGCCAGAAAAATGTTGCCCAGCACCTACTGATGACTCACAGTTCCTACAAAGGAAAACATCAAACTAATTATAAAAAAGAGACCTGGTGTTGGGAAAAACAAATCTGTGAAAAAGGCTCTTGACTATGTGTTTGAGTCTGTTTTCTATGAACTAAAACAGAAAACTCAGGATTATCCTCTTACACTGATTTACTGCTGTGGCAGCATGGACTGGGTGGGATACGGGTTTGAACTTGCCGAGAGAATCCTTCGAGACAGTATGTATGGTGGTGATGGACACAAATGTGCAGAGAATCTAAGGGTAGTCATGTTACATTCTGCTTTGGAAAAAGGAGATGAGGTGAATATTGTCTCATACCTACATAGAGTTTGATTTCTTTTGATAGAAAAACAACAGATCACTTATAGTTCAACTGAATAAATGATACATGTAAAAGTCATCAAATTCCCTATGTTGATCTTTAATCTAATTAACAGTTATATGCAAAGATCTATTGATAAAACTGAGACAATCAAGTCAATATTTACATAGCAAATGTTTGTATTATCTGCCACAAAAGTATATATAGAGTCTGGAAAATCTATGTATGCTGGATTTCTGTTTTCATATTCCAACAGATTTCAATTTAACTTACTCAATTATAATAAATGAATTTCAGCTCAAAGATATCATATTTAAGAATTTGGCAAAGGATCCCATAGAGAGTCCCCTGAAAGTTGTTATTGCTACAGTAGCACTAGGGATAGGGGTAGACCTGCGTTATGTAGCTCAGGTGATTCATGCTTGTCCTCCCCAAAATCTGGAAGGTAAATTTTCTACAATATAAAAAAATTAAATCATATGCTTGACAGTGTGGATGGAATAATATCAGAAGTAGGAGGTAACCTACAATATATCACATGTATATTGCAGAATTTAGTTCTACATTATGGAAGCTAATTTCTTGTGATAATGATTAACATATTGTAGTGATAGTAATATTTAAAATAATTTGCTCCATATTAACTTAAAAACTTTCCTTCTATATTTCAATTTTATACTTTTAGCATACATACAGCATATTGGCCGTGGTGGACGAAACAGTGAAATGCAGTGTGAAGCCATTTTGTACTTCAATAGCAGTGACTTGGGGCGTCTAAACATTTCAAAGGAAATTAAGGAGTATTGCAGGAATGACACACTTTGTAGGCGAGTTTTTTTCTAAGTCCCACTTTGGATTTACAGAATCTACTGCTGTTGTTCAAAATTGTTGTGATGTATGTGAGGATTCTTGCCCCTCTTCTGAGTCAGCTGAAAAGGATTCGGAGATAGACAAGTCTGTTCTCAGATCTGCATTAACTTCCTTTGTGACTTCCTCAGATCTGAAAGAAGAAGTAAAGCTTGGAGTGTATTGAACATTTAGTTCGCTTTCCTAAATTACACCTTGCAGAGGAGGAACCGACCCAAGACTTTCAAATTTCCCCAGTAGTTGCAAAGTCTTTATGTTGTTTAATAAAACAGGTCATTGATTTGTCTTTAAGATAAACTATGTTTTTAAAATTGGCTTGAATAAACATATTTCAGTTTACAGTACTGTTATAATATATGTAAGTTTAACTTCTTTGTTTTTGGATTTTTTTCTTTAATTATGTGAAGCTCTTTATAAACAAACCTCAAGTTTAAAAACAGTAAAACACAGTTACAGCAAACAAGCTTACACAAATTTACACTTAATATAATGACTTTTTTATCAAAGTTTCAAAATAACTTATTTCTTAATTAACTAGGATATACACTGATATAGCAAATAATTCTTTTATCAAAGCAAATTTTGAGGTACATGGGACTTGACTATAAGAATGTTTTACTGTATTTATGTTTTCATAAAGTTTTACCTTAATTTCTTACTTCATGGTGAAAGTTGTACTGGTGTTCACGAATCCATGACTTCAATTTCTGCATATTGAGATGACTCAAGGGACTCTGGACAGGTTTGGGAAATGATTGAAACTTTCGTCCATCTTTAAAGTGGAAAGGTTTAAGCTTCTGTAAGTCACTGATAATCATGCATTCATCAGAGTGTGAAAAAACAATTTTGTGCTTCTGAGAACGTACAATAACATCAGAGGAATCATCAAAAGATGCTGATATGTTTTTCATGCCAGCAAAGGCAGCTGTTCTCTTTGCAATGGCAGTGTCTGTTTATTTGAATGGACAGCTTTCAAGTGACCTTTAATTTGTCTCACAATGTGTTCCATCTGTAGGTCTGCAGGAATTGAAGAATCAAACTTTTCTTTATAATTGTTGACAAAGAGACCATAAAAAAGACTGGTAAGCTGTCTTCTCATCAAATGTGCACTGCTGCTGGACCAAGAAGCGCAAAATTTCAAGTGCATACTTGGAATTATCATTGTGGCCCTTTAGAATATACATTAAGTGCTTCATGAGTGGTATAAACCTGTCGACTCTATTCGGAATTTTAATATTGTTTTGAAGGCCTTTAAATGCAAGTCCTAGTTTTAAGATTCAAAGTCCATAGTTCATGATATGATCTGGTGAAGCTTGCATATGCTCAGATTTTGTCAAAAGAGGCAGCTGAATATTCACTGGACTTCCATTTGGCATTTGTACCTGTATTTGAATAAACTGTACAGTAGAAGATTGCTCCTGGAATAATCTTTTGAATCTTTTATAATGTATGCATCAATGAAATTTTCTAATGAATGCACAAGAGACATCTTCTTCTCATATTCACTTATAATAATTCATCCAAACTTGGTATAAAATGTTTGATTGGCACATAATCCAGTTTGTCCATCCCTAAATACTCCAGAGCTGCAGACACTATGTAACTGCCTATTAAAGACACTGCAAGTTCTTTGCAATGGTCAAAAATGGAAAAGTTCAAATGTAATGGGAGAGAGGTGCTCAAAACCATCCTTTCCACTAACAGCATCTTTTCGAAGTGTCTCTTTGCTCCTGAAAAATGTTCTCTAGTAAGTTGATCTCCTCCAATGTGCACTCTGGTTTTGTCGTCGACTTCTCTGCCACTGGCCCTGAACACTTCTGCAACTGTTTCTTCATATGAATCTAAAATCTTTATCACATCTGTGTCGCACTGTTCATTTCTTGGCAATACCGGTAGTTATTTCGGGGACAACAGAGTGTTTTTTGTCGCATCATAATTATGAGGAATGAATTCCTGTCTCATTTCATCAAGAAATGTTTTGAAACCAGCAAATTCTTTGCAAAATTTGCATAACACACTTTATGTTAGTGTAACATACTCCTTATGAATAACATTCCAGTCTGCTAGTGATGGTAGAAAGTCCTCAGCTGGAATATCCAGGACTTGTCTTTGAGGTCCCTTGTCAGGTAGGTTCTCAAACTCTTCATGCTGAATAATGGCAGCAGATGCAAACCAGTTTTCCATACGTTTTGATGAAATGTGTCGCTGGTGACTGACTTTAACCATAAAGTTTACGTTGTCCCCAATCAGACGGGATAGCATCTACAAGGTCTTTAATATATTGGTCACCAATTTGTCTTTGAACTTTCAGAGCTACACTGTGAGATAAAGTTACTCCCAGGCGTTGAAATCTAACATGAACCTTAAACACAAATTTAGTGCACATAAATATTAAACATGAAGAAAATTACTTGCATATCAAAATAAGAGCAGCAATGTTATGTTTCATGTTGTAAGAAAAGCTGCAGTTCAATAAAGTTAATATCAAGGAAGTTATACTATTTAATAGTTGAATATTTTCCCAATTCATTGAAAGAGTAATTAGCAATTTTTTTTTAAACATTTACTTACTCTAGGGCAAAGAACCAATATCGTAAAAGTCATTACAATTAGTGGAAAACACAACCAAATGATGAACTTTTTGGAGAAAATGAAAAACCCAATTATCCATACTAAGGTTCATGACATAATTATTCTATAAGTCATGCTCACAAAGTATGGTTTAATGAGGTTTAGTAAACAGAAAACATCAAACATCCCAAACATTTCCATTCTGAAATGAAGAAGGCTGAAAACAAAGAAAAATGGACACAAACAATTATCAGTGGCAATAAATTAACTAAAGTGTTCCAAGGAACACTTAAGACATTTTTTACAATGATTGATGACAAACAGTACACATTCTTAAACAAGAGGCCCATGGGCCACAATGCTCACCTGAGTTACGTTTGGCCCTGCTGTTCTTCACCAGACCCCCACTCCATTGTAATAATTATTGCGGCCCCGTCGTACCCCTGGGGGCCATGATTTGAACAATTTAGAATCTACACTATGTAAGGATGCTTCCACCTAAATTTCAGCTTTTCTGGCCCAGTGGTTCTTGAGAAGAAGATTTTTAAAGATTTTGCCAATATATTTCAATGTAAAACTTTGATTCCCTATTGTGGCCCCGCCGTACCCCCGAGGGCCATGATTTGAACAATTTAGAATCTACACTACCCAAGGATGCTTCCACATAAGTTTCAGCTATTCTGGCCCTGTGGTTCTTGAGAAGAAGATTTTTAAAGATTTTACCTATACATTTCAATGTACAACTTAGATTCTCTATTGTGGCCCTGCTCTACCCCCGGGGCCATGATTTGAACAATTTAGAATCTACACTACCCAAGGAAACTTACACTTAAGTTTCAGCTTTTCTGGCCCAGTGGTTCTTGATAAGAAGATTTTTTAATGACCCCATCCTATTTTTCTCTTTCTTGATTATCTCCCATTGTAAGGGTGGTTGGCCCTTCATTTTAACAATTTAAACTTCCCTTCACCCAAGGATGCTTTGTACCAACTTTGGTTAAAATTGGCTCAGTGGTTCTTGAGAAGAAGTTGAAAATGTGAAAAGTTTACAGATGGACGGACAGACAGACAGATGGACGGACGACAGACAACAGGTGATCAGAAAAGCTCACTTGAGCTTTCAGCTCAGGTGAGCTAAAAACATGGACTTACCTTTTAAATGTCAAAAATATGCTGTATATTGGCACTAAGTACTATTTTGTAAAATAGGTCAAATGTCAGGTTCAAATGTCATTAGGTTAAAAACCATGGTTATTTACTATAGCCATAGTGCCAAACAATGTATGTGCAAAATATCAAATCCATACCTCTTACAGTTCTTGAGATATGAGGTGTGACAGACAGGCGACAGACAGACAACAGACAGACGCTTGGTAAAGTGATCCCTTAGTGTACTACTAGCTCTGCTCTGCAGGTGACACAAAAATACAGGTTAATAAAATAATAATATTTTAACTTCAAACATTGTAATGAAACCGAAAATAAAAATTGACTGTGAATTAAGACATAATCATGATAATTGTAAAATACCTTCTGATGAACCTTCTCTTCTGCCAATGACATGTAGATCATCCTTTGTATATGTGGAAGGTCCTTACACCTCCTCTTCATGAGTATTCCGTACACAGTTCCAATCTCTGGATAGATCTTATCAAAATGTTGCTCATGCATTGACTTCCTAGGAATACACACAGCAAGCAAGGTTTCTTATAAAAGAGGATTGTAGTCAAGCATTTCTTGTACAACATGTTCCCATCTGAAAGTTAGTAAATCCTCATAAGTGTTACCCCCCCCCCCCCAAGTAACTGAAACGCCTCTGTGTTAAATATTTTGAGGATTCTTCGATTTCCAACATGAAACAATGCCGAATTTCCTCTTTTAGGTCTTTTATTTCATATACTTCTCTGGCCAAACAGTGTAATGAAGTGCCTTTTCTCCTTTTATTAGCTAACTTCTTAGAGAGCTGACACTCTCCTCAACATCCTCCATTTCTGCTGATGAGGAGTCTCTCTCAGAATGATCACCTCTGTTTAAAGAATTAAAAGCAATGCAACAAACATCAGAAAAAAACATGTCTGTAAACATTTTAGAATATGAAAAACCACCTTTGAATTAAATTAATGATGTCATTATATATCCTTTTCGCTAAAACTTTATATTCATGTTGGATCTACTTATACAAACAGTAGGGAGGGTATGCTCACGTCTGTCTGCACTCCGCGTTCTTCAGTTGAACTTAGAAATTGTCCGCGCTCTGCACTTGAACTTAAAAATTGCTCTGTTTCAATGAAGGATAT